AATATGGGGTTGTGAGAATACATAGAGTCAGTGGTGTGTGTGCGTGATGTATGCATGAATTATGTCTGTGCAAGTGTTGTAAATGCAAACGTCCTAAACAAAGAAAACTAACCCATGACCAGACCGATGCAATACCTGTGGAGGGAAGCAGAGTAGAGAGAGATTAGACTGCAGTCAGCCCTTAAGTAACCCAGGAACACACTGGGTGTCACAGGTGCTCCCGATTACCTTAACCAGCCACTCACAGAACCAATAGCCGAACTAGAACAACCCACAAATACAAGATGACCTCAGGAGTCATCACAGCACCAACACGCAGACCAAAACGATGTAAGAATTATTTTGTCTGAGCAGTCACCAGTCATATGAGCAAGTCATAGTAACATTGCAGAGATTGTATTGGAGCAACTAATTTTTTTTTTAGGGATAATTGGGACATTGAATACTTGAGCCTGAACCTGTCCTGACCACTGAACTCTGGACAGCAAGTCTGTAATACCGTTACTCATCTCAACTTCCACATTTTACTTGTTTCCAAGACAAACCTGACTCTTTGCTGTATATTTACAATTAACAGTATATTTAATATTTAAAATCCAACTGCATGGGACCTTCTTCTGCTGAGTCATTTTGCACTTGATGCAAAGATCAAAAGTAACTGCTCTGTGGCCCTGTCTATCAAAGACAAGCAGGAAGTTTCAGTATAAGAGCAGAAAACACACCCTGAATAAACACAAGTTAAGAAAACAACCGAAGGTAAATAAAACTGACTTGCTGCTATCAGATATCGTATGACTAAATCGGACGAGAGTCTTAAAAAGGATCAGCGTGGTAATGAAAATCACATTGAATCTAATAAATGAAACCTAATCAACATCCTAAAGCATTACAGTGACACGTGCAGATTCATTCTCTTACAGTCAGATATTGCTATGCCGATGACACACTGTTGTACTTGCCAGTTTGAGCCTCTGTTCTCCACATGACTGCCTCTGAAAACATAGGTTGAAACGGTTTTCCTTTCCACCTGATGGTTTCTTTTTGAAACACATTAAGCTTGTTTCAACAAACCTCAGCATTTGGTAACTCAAGTTTATGGCAGCACATCTGTGTGCAGTTGTGTTTTATCATCTTAGAAATATTTTAAGAATGCAAACTATTTTAAATTTTAAAGACAAAAAACATTTTACACACCTTCCTCAACCAAAAATCCCTAAATCAGCTCCAGATTGTACAGAGCTCAGCTGCCAGGCTTTTAAAAAGAGTCAAGAGAAGTGACCACATCACATGTGTAGCCTTCTTGGACTGGGTCCTAGTATGTCCTACAATTGATTTTAAGAACGTCAAAAGGCACAGCTGAAAGCAAGAGTTGAGAAAGCATTCGGTGTTACATCTCTTTTGATTCCTGTCTTAAAACATACTTCTATCCAAGAGCCTTTCATGGTATTGCTACACTTATTGATCTGCTTCCATTTCTTGGTTAAATGTTACGTTACACTCTCTTTCTTTTCTTTGTTTGCTGTCTTATTTTGTTTGTGAAAAAAATGTGTAACATGATTTCCAGAAGTGCTCTACAAATAGACTTGTGAGTCCTCTCTGACAAGTCATGACAGCCAAACCCCAACAGATCCTGTTAGACTTACATTTGTAATATCACTAATCTCAAGCAAACATTTCCAGCCTCTGTTTAAGCATATCATGCTGTGTTTTGAGTGGCTGTCCTCGTCTGACACAGGAAGGGAGGTGCTGTAAGCATGTTTAAACTGTCATGGGACTTTGAGCATTTTTTCTTCTTCTCCTGGAACAACCACAAAGAAGCTTTGCAATGAACCTGCCGGCGAGAAAAGTGATTCATACGCTTGACACCGTCCTCTGGGGAGAGTTTAGTTCTGTACAACAGTATGCAAAGTCACCCGCAGTCAATCTTTTGTTGTCATAACACAAAACTGAAACAGCAAATGTTCACAATGACATTTCTACATTCAAAACCATAAAACAAAAGTCAGTTACCCGATGGCAGTTAATATTTTGTGTCACAAAGATACACCATACATGTATGATGCTAAAACAAGAATTAATTAGAATAAATAAAACTGATGACTTCTTCTCAGTGGAGCAGTTTTTGCTGGTCGACCGCTTGATTCTCGTGAAGTCGTAAAGGAAGAAATGGTCGTTCCAAATCTTCCTCTGACATGACGTGCAGTTTTTGTGCAATGATGGCTCATTTTTCATGTTGTCTCTTGGTGCCTGCCAACCCGTCTTTCAGCGGTCTTTCAACAGATTTTGTATCTTCCAGTTCTGACCACTGCACTGCTGGACAACAAGTTTGTAATAGCCATCCTCACCCATCACAATTTCCAGGCATCTCTTTGTTTCTCTGTTCTGGATCGGTCCTCCCTGGGAATAAAACACATTCTACTGTCTCCTTTTTTGTCTCCAGCCTCTTTAGTGTGTATTTTTCTTTTTCAATGAAACAGTTACCTGTTTAAAATCCCACAGCATGGGGAGCTTCTTCTGTTGAGCCTTTTTGCAGTCGTAGAGTCCTGGATCGACTCCAGTGGCGGGGTCCACCAAACAGCGGTTGCTGTTGTACTTGTGAGATTTGATCCCACCGATGTAGAGTTGTCCATCAGTGCGATAAAAACAGTGCTACATGAGAGAAAAATAAATATCAACAGACAAATGAAAATCACGGTTTACTTGGATGCGGTGAATCTTACCTGCGGTGTGAAGAAGTGGCATGGATATATGATAGGTGTGTCCCCTGGCACCGGGCCTTGGTCAACACAGTGATCTCGCTTCAGATCATTAATTAGCTGCAAACAAAAACAGAAGCATCGAGTAATATTTGTATATAACTAGGACATCTGGCAGGATGACTTCTTAGGCTCCAGCATTGAGGGTCACATGACGCTTGTGCAAAGACTGTGGTTTCTGTGCAGCGCAAAAGTTTTTACTAACTTGTGTGCAAAAAGGGAGTTGCGATTGTTCATGTTGTTATGCTCCGCTGTCGGAAAACCCGCCCCAATAAATACAAGTTAAGAAAAAAACTTAAGCCAAATAAAGCTGACTCACTGCTATCAGATGTGACTGACTGTGATGAGACTCTACAAAGAGTGTGATCATGAAAAGCAGACTAAAATTTATCAATTAAATCCAAACAAAGCCTTTTAAAGCATGATAGTGATGAACTCATTCTCCCCCGTGATATTCTTTTGGCTTACCGCTCCATAACCGAGCAGGTTAGTCAGGGGGTCCAGCATGGGGTAGATGTTATCGAGATACCACTGAAAGGGCTTACACTTCAGCCTCTCTCTCAGCTTCTTCCTCTCTGACACATCTCCAATGTCTATCCCGTGATTCTGAAGAGAAAGCAAGGCCACGTGAAGCAATTTCTGATAAGTAAAAGAAACTCTAATGTCGTACATTGTTACTCACAACCTTCACAGCACTCTTTCACAAAACCTAATCAGTACATATGGATGAGTGAGTAATGAGGTGTCACCATTTACCTCAAGGGGAAGGTTCCAGGCTACGTTAACATTGTATTTGTATTCATCCAGCCACACCTCCGCCACCCTCAGTGCGTTGCGCTTCATCATGATGCTCAGGTCTGGGAGGTAAGGCTTTGATGCTCGTTCAATGTGAGCGATTTTAGAACAAGGTATCACCTCTATGCTTCCTCCACACAGCCACACCTGCCGGAATACAAGAAGTAGTCATGAAGGCTATTTAAGGCACCAACTGTAAGCAAGTGAATAAGGAAGTGAAGCAACATGCACACACTGCACTGCAATGCTAAAATAAATGCAGCCAAATTTTACATTATTTGAATTTCGTGTATCCCAGGATGCATTACACAGAAGACAGGTAAACACCAGCATTTTAGTCTAGTGTGACAGCAAGTCAGTGTCTTTGATTTGATGGTATTTGGGTATTAAAGCAAAATATTAGACATGATGGTGCAATATGAAGGATCAGAAGATCACCAAAGTCCTTCGCACACACTGATTACGAACATCCATGAAATTTTATAACAATTTTTAAATAGTTAGTAAAAAAATTATAATTAAAAATTGAACAGAAAACTTGATACAGCATCTTCGGCACAAGTCAGTCAGACTTTCTATTCATAGATGTCTTTATAAACCACTTCAAACTCTTACCCGGATGCCGAGCTCCACATTTTCACCACCATATATCTTCATTCCTCCATCAAGGCTTCCAATCTCCCCAAAGAACTTGCGATCAGCTACAAGTATCCCCATGATTGAGGGACTCCTGGTGACACAATTCGACAAAGGAAACATCTAAAAGGTGAAACATGCCACCACACTTCACAAACTATCAGTGTGTAAATGTTTAGTGTGGCTTTTAAATTTAATCTGAAGGACAAACTCTCACTGCTAGCTTCACCATCATATTAAACAGAGTTTAATTGATCTTCTCCTGTAACTCTCAGGAAGAAAAGCAAATATCCTAAAATGTCAAGTGTGAACGTGTGTTTTATTGTCATTTGGGTGAGTCTTTAAGTGCGACTCTTACTTGCCAGGCTGTGAGTCGTCCTTCAGAGCGTACCACTCAGGCCTGAAGGACTCATACATGCACCACAGAGCCCAGTCGAAGGCGTCCGCCGCAGGTATGTAGGGAATCAGAGTCAGGTCGTCAAAATTGACTTTGTCAAAAACTGGCGTCACTATCACAGTGCGATCCTCTTTAATCCGAGCTAACAGCGGCTCTGCCCTGGGCACACAGAGACGGTTGAACAGAAACAAGAGGTGTGGTGGCTCAAAGGAAATAATTCAGATCACATCTAAACCAACCATTGCACATGGACTTCTATGTGAGCGTCCAGGATGGCCACAACGTCTCCCACCGCCACCTTCCATCCAGACAGTCGGGCCTGTGTGAGGCCGAGCTGCTGAGAGTGCCGCACTCTCTTCACCAGGTCTGGACGCTCCTCATGGATGGAGTTGATGTATTCATCAAGTTTCTCCATTAAATCTTCTGCAGGAAAAAACAAATTTACATCTTTCTGTAATCTGAGCTGTGAATTCTAATTATACCTCTACTTCACCATAATCTCCCTGATGAATCACAAAATATCCAAATTTAAAGGACACAAAACGCAAAAACGTTAGTAGTGTAAGTATAAGTGAACAGCATTTCATTCGTCAAATTCTCACCAGTTAAAAATAATATAAAAGGAACAGTGACATTTCAGGAAACACACTTTCTGCTTGTAAATCAGATGACAAGATGCCATTTGTGTCTGCAGCTGGTAGAAGCAGCTTTACATAAACTTTGCATAAGTGGAAATAAGGTCAACCATGTTTGATCTTGTTTCATAATTGTTTGCTGGTTCCAGTGAAATGTTTAACTTACGGTCCTGTTTTTATCTATCCATCAGCAAGAAACCAAACCGTGGTGTTATTTAAGATCAGCGAACTATCCCTATCACCTAACGTGTGTTGGTTTAGTCTGGTCAGACCTTTTGTCAGATCACATTCAACATTACACTGCCTTGAACATTTCACTTCAGTTCTGACCCAGACAAAAGCAGGTTTGCTATTCTGACACAGAATTCAACTTTAGCTTGTGGCTCTCTAAAATGTTCAGTATAACATCACACAACCAGGGAACAAACTGCATCACTCTTATAGCCACATCAGTTCCTAAATGTAGGCACCATCTCTTCACAGAAACAGTGCACCTGTTGCTCACGATAAATTATTTTTCATATCTCACCAATGCAAAGTGAATGCCCGTTACGACATATCATCTATCACTTTGTGCATCTCAAAGTCATCTGATTGTTCCAGAGCCTAAAACAGAGCAGCTGTGGAGGCACTTAAACGTTACCGTTGCTGCTGTGATCATCAACCAGGATGATTTCTTGCAGCAGCCGTTGTGGAGTTTTGTCGATGATGCTGCGGACGGCTCTTTGAATGACAGAAAGAGCCTCGTCCAGGTAGATTAACACGACGCTGATGGAGGGCAGATCCTCTGGATACTTTTTCTCAGCACACCTGTGAGCAGAAATAAAGTCAGAAGAATATTTAAATGAATCGAAAAGTTCAAAACCAATTGTACCTTATAGTGTAATGTGATGACCATAAAAAGAAACTAATTGTCAGATGGAAACTTGGGAAGAAAATTTAAGGGCCCGTCTCTTTTATTTATTACTGCAATGTTTTAAGTTCCTGGAGCTGCAATAATACATAAAAAATATTCCTCAGAATTTACCCAAAGGTAATTTTTTTTAACTTGATTTGTTTGTCAGACCCACAGGCTAAGAAATATTTTAGTATTCCATCATTAACATTAAAAATTAAAAATGTAAAAAAAATCAGCAAATATTTACAGCAGTGCTGGTACATTTCGGGAGGCTTTTTTCTTTCAAAAAAATATTTTTAATTGACTGCCAAGCAGCGGTTTTAGCTCTAAACTGAGCCACTCGATGCACACAGATTAAAAGGTTAAAACTAATTTGATTAAAAAACCTACTTAATGCTATATATACAGTAAAAATGACAACTTATATTATTGTAAATAAGAGGGGTTAAATAGAATTTGCTTGAAATTAACAAAATAATCTATATGGCAGGTTTACTACAATATCTGGATATTTTTATGTCAAAAAAATCTACATTTCTAAACAAAGCTGAACCCATAATGTTGAAAAGTAATTAATTTAGATCACAGCAGATCACATATGTAAAAGGAACATAAACAGATAGAATGACAGATATTAATCAGACATCACACAGCAGCCTGTTGTGACGTCACCTGTGTGTGAACCAGGTGCGACTTCTATCAGAACTTCCTGCAGCAGCAGGATGTTGTGTTCACCTGAGCGGCCGGGTGTCGGAGATCTCTCTGTTGAGGGGAAGCCTGTCGCTAAGGAAGGCGTTGTAGCCATATCTCAGAAACAGCCTCTCCGCCTCCTTCTGCTCCTCCTCTGACAGCTCGTCGCCCCACTTGCTGAACAGAACAGAGTTGGGGTACAACCTCCTGACCACCTTCCTCTCCTTCTTCACCTCCGCCTTTATCTCGGCTGCCGGTTCCCTCTTTTCCAGTTTATTCATCAGACTTACTGAAGACAAAAGAGACCACACAGTGTTTGTTTTAACCTTCTGCATTCTAAGTGAAGTGAATGAACCAGCAGCTGCCCCTCCTTGAATTGTAAATATAGCAGTAATCAGTATTTGTCTTTGCACTGGTGCAGTCATGAGTAAATGCAGCATAATCAACACTACGCACAATGTTTTCCTGTGAGAGCTGACTGATAACCTGGTTTTCTGAATTGGTTAATAGCAGGTCAGTTTAGGTCAAACTGAGCTGGATTTGCATGAAAAATATAAAACGTCTTCAAATAATCAATTTGTTTTTTATTAGAAAATAATTCAGATTTGTGAATCACAGTTTAGGTCATTTTTCCAGCAGAAATACGAGGAACGCTGCTTCACTTCTTATCTTTCTGGTTTTGATAGCTGGTCGCATGAAACAAGAAATCTGAAGATGTTGCAATGAACTGTAGGAATTTCTTTTAATTACATTTAATAGACAAAATATTGATTATTTAAGAAAATAAAGTGATGAATTGATTATAAAATCTGGCAGTGGTTTTCCAAATTAATTTCAACACGAAAAATCATTACTTTTCTGAAATATAATCATACTATAATCAACTCTCTATTTCTAAAACTAACTAATTTAGTCTGGGTTTTATTATTAATATCATTATTGTGGTTATTATTGTTATTAATAAAAATCACTTGATTTGTAAAGCTTCTTTGAAAACAAACTTACAAGTGCTTACAATAAAACTCCTCTCAAATTTAGACAAATAAATAAGATCCCAAAAGTGCAATTTAAGCAAGATAAAATAGTCGACATTTTTTAAAGCACATTTAAGACAAGGGCGATTGTGTCCAAGTGCATCAGGTTAAGACCATCCAGTGTTATTTATGGTGTGATTTCACCAGTTATTTACATATTAAGGGGAAAAAACTCCATAAAGTATGTAAAATCCAAATTGACCTGACTACAATACAGCATTATTAATTGTGGAAATTTATCTGTCTTAGTCTGAGCTAAACTAAACTAAATATCTCCATCTTTGGACCTGCAAACCATCAAATCAGTGTTTATTTGCTAGAAAATGGAACTGCAGACTTAGGCAGCTGTAGGTTTGAGACTCTGACTCACACAGCTTGTTGATGTCTCCTTCCATCTTCTCCATCCTCTGGAGCATCCCCTGGCCCCTGATGGAGTCGTTGTGGTGGGCCCTCTGGAGGCTCTCTGAGTGGGTGTGGACCTCCCTCTTAATGGAGCCCAGGTACAACAAGGCCAAAGCCATGATGCAGACCAGAAGGAAAGCTTTAACCTGGCCAGATCTCATCCTGGTGCTCCTCTGGGTGCAATGTGCTGTTTGGCCTCACAGTGGAAGAAAAGGTGGAGAAAATGTTCCTCTACCTTTTATTTCAGGTGCTGTCTCTCCTCTCTCTGGCTCCCCACCCCCTCCACACACAACCACAGCAGCAGTCACAAACACTGACACACCAAACGTGTTATCTCATATCCTGTAGTTCTCACCATATTCAGAGTGTGCAGGGCAGTTCTCAGTCCAGGCTTCAACTCTGCTGTGCCCTCATTGCTCTACACCTGGGATGCAAGGTGTGTACCATTAACTGCAGTTACCTGGGAGGAGAGAAAACCAGCAGGACTCTGCATGCAGCAGGAACAGGACTGAATGATCAGTAAAGCACAAGACTAGTTTTGGTACCACAACAATAATGTTAAACCTCTTTGCTAACAGCGTATTTGAAACATTTTTTTGTTTAGTTTAGTTTAGTTTGGATCAGATTGTAATTCAGATTAGCTCAAAAACATGCATCATGTCTTCTTACTGATAATATAATGTTCAGGTTATCTAGTCAGACATGTACATTGTGCTTTTATTACCTGACATGCTGCAGGTGCCAGCTGTCGCCAGATCCGGCCAGATCCACCGGATCCGGCGGATCTGGCCGGATCCTGGGCAGATGCCGGGCGTAAAATTGCACAATATCCTTATTTGATGCAATGAAAAGCACAATTTTCATGTTTGACAAACTACACATGAACTACTTTTTCATTTGTAGTCAAGTGGACGTAAACTGGTGTTTGTTAATCCAGATGAACAGCACTGAAGTTCTCGCCGCCAGATCTGGCGGCTCTACTGGGCGTGCCGCAGGTGCCAGCTGTCAAAATCTGCCGGCTGGTACGTCACCCGCTGTCAGTGTCGTCTCCCTATGTGAGGAGCATCTCAGTTTTTATGATAGATAGATAGATAGAATGTATTTATACATAAATACTGGTCACAAGGTAAAAGGAAAAATCCAAACAAATGAATGGAGAAACACAGTGAATGCAAATTCTTCCACAAAGGCGTCACCCAGTAAGTCTTTATCATAATTACTAAAATAATCAAATCACCGCACTATGTGTATGATGAGTAATATCTAATATAAATAATTCTACATGTCAAAGCTTTTACTCATTAATATCAGGCATTATTATTGTGATTGGGGGAGTTTTATTAACTGTTTTATTCAATTCTATTGTTTATTATTTGCCTTGTTTGCCTTCAGCTTTATTTTTTTCACTCTGTTTATGGTTTGAGGCTGATTTTTAATTTACATTTGGCATATAAGTATATTTTTGTTTTATATTTGAATATATCTCTTTGTGTCTATATTTTTGTGTGTATGTATACATCCTGTGATAGACTGGTGACCTGTCCAGGGTGGAATAGACTCCAGCCCCCCATGACCGTAGTGAGGATTAAGCGGTGTATAGATGATGGATGGATGGATGGGTTTGTGTTAGTCTTCTTGTTTTGGGATATTTCCCTCTACTTTCCCACACTAATGTCTTCCTTCAAAACACAAACAGGATCAAGTATTTTTGTACCGCCTTATCTGTAAATCTGTCTCCTAGCAGGAGGGAAATATGTACTTTACTTGCAAGTTCCTACAAAATACAATACTTGACATAGTCAGGTAAAGAAAGTGCATTTCAAGTCCTGCCAGTATAACGTATGAAGTCGTCCTGTTTAATCAGCCCACATCAGTGTTTTTGAAGTATTTGGTAAACGGTGAAGCAGAGAGATGAGGAGACCTGTGGAGGCCTTGAGATTATGATGCTTTGTGTTGTCACTTTTCAGATACATTTATCAGTTTCTCATGCTGTGCACTGATATATGATCCGATAAAACACATGAACTGTAATCTGAGATCAGTCTTTTCCTATGAAATGCAAAGATCACAGCTTCCCATTTACTAAAATATGCAGCACACGGATAAAGGTAAATCATCCTGAGATGTTATTCTTCATTTAATCTAAAGGAAAACTACAGTAATGGAATGTAATCAGGATACTTTTGAGTATTTTCCTATCACACCACTTTACACTTACACTGTATTCTACATTCGAGAAAGAAATATTGCACTTTCAACATTTATCTGGCAGCGTCACATAATTTACAAATGGTAAAGCTTTTTTCACATAAAATATGGTTAAACTACCTAAATGTATGTATGAAAACATGAAAAAAATAATGAATGGGTTCATTATTTAACACTGCTGTCGAGAATTTGTTTTTGCATGATTAGGACTGTTGGTCAGATAAAGCAGGGTAGAAGTGAATTTAGCTGATTAATTAGGGAAACCATCAGCAGATTAATCCATAATGGAAATAATCCTGTATGAAACCATTAAAGCTACCTGTTAATACATGAGTAATAATTTTAACTACGAGTGTAGCCATTATAACGGGCAGCTTTTCCACAGTGAGCACTTCTTAAAACTTTAGTTAGATTTTCCTGACTATACTCCATATACTTAGGTAACATTTTCACTGAATGACTTTTCATTAACTACTTTTACTGTGTGGTATTTGTACTGTTACTTCACCTGTGTATGTAAAAACAGCATACAAAATTAAACTGTTTTTACATTTTATTTTATATACACAATATACAAAGTTTGCAGACAAAGTGTAAAATGAAAAACAAAACTCATTTTGAATGGCATTAAGATGATATAATAAAAACTAAATGTGACAGAGACTATTCACACTTTTCTTCCTGCCACACAAAACCACAACAGTTTATCCTGAATCTGAGCTGTGAACTCACACTGAGAGGAGAGAAGAATTACTGCAGTGACGACAAGGAAATGTGAGATTATTCTATGAGTTCAGCCTCCAGAGTGAACAAAAGAAACACCCTACAGCTGCTCCCAGACTAGAGAACTAACAATTCAAGGTGTGGCGTGTGAGGCCAAAGCTGAAAGCATCATGTGAAGATATACGCTGTGGGAATTATTTCATCTGTGTTCTCGTACAAATTAAGAAAATGAGAAATGAATATTTACAAGCAACTGCTTAAAAATAAAGCAAAAGGACAAAAACATCTGGCCTTCGCTGGCAGATGATCAGCTCAGTCAGTGACTCGCCACGCTGGGGTGAAGAGGTTTGACTCGAACAAGACGGGACAGTCCGAGTCGCAGACCCTGACCTGGAGACTTCCCTGTTGGACTCTTGGATGATGTGGGACTTTTGCCAATTTGAGCTGGAGAAAAAAAAAAAAACACAGTAATAATGTAAGTGTTCAGTTGCTGTCTCTGACAACTGAAGCATCAGTGCTGTTGTTTCCTCAGGCTGCACCTGGTGGGTTCCACTTGGGTATTCTGCCCCCTGCTGGGCTCACAGAAACTGCAGATTTCAATGTGGAAACTGTGGAGGATGAAGCAGGTCTTTTAGGTGCAAGTTTGGCAGTGGGAGGACTTCTAACCGGGGTGGAAGCTGCTGTGAGACAAAGTGGTTACATGTCATTACAACAGTAAAATTAAAACAACTGCATCTAAAAGCTTCTTTGATGATGCTCATGGACATACCTGCTGCTGGTGATTTAGACTTTGATGGTTTTGATGTTTGCTTTTCCTTTTTAGAAGCAGAAGTCGGTTTGGTTTTATCATTCTTGGTTACTTTCTCCTTCTTTTTGGTCTTAGTGACTTTCTTCACCGTAAATTCTTCATCTTCGCTCTCAGCTGGCTCGCTGAAATCTTCCTCACTTTCTGAATCTGAAAAGGCAGTGATGCTATTTAACTGACACAAGAGAAACAGTCACAACAAATAATGGAGAATATAAAAGTGTTAACCTGGTGTCAGTTTGGGTTGATAGTCCTCATCTTCATCATCTTTATCCTTTTTTCTCAGCTCCTCAGAGGCTTTAGAGGCAGCCTTTCTCTGTTTGGATGGAGCAGGTGAGCCTTTGTCTGATGTGATTTGATCAAGGCCTGAAGAAAAAAAGGCTACAGAATATGACTAATCCAAGGAAATTAAATATACAGTAAAAATGACAGAACCTTACCCATAACTGCACCATCCACACTGCAGTTGGACAGGAGCAAAGAAGCTGGATCTGTGTTTTCATCTACTGGGAGTTGAACTGTAACATCTCCTGGATAAATTAAACAGGAATGTAAGTTGTAAAGTCTTTACCAGCTTACCACTGTATCTGCATTTTTACAAGCCAGGGCATACCTTTACTGGTGGGAGACTTTACTTCCTTTATTTCATCTGCATTATTGAGCAAGGAAAGTGTAATGGCTGCTTCAAGATCTCTTGCATACAGCTTTTCATCCAGCGGCTTTCTGTGAAAATCAATTAATGTTGTAAGAATAAAGTCATCCTGTATGGATAAAGTCCTGTTGAAGATTTTCAACTTTTGGTTTACTCCTCAGATATTTAAAACGAACAACTAATAGATTTGTTTACATTTTTGAAGAATGATTACAAAACATAAATAAAATCATAAGAATGACTACAAAAAAACTGAGTTAAAAGACTGTGAGTCTTCCTCTACATCACTGAACTCCATGCAGACTAATCACAGAGAGAGTTCCTAACATTTTGTCCTGTGTAAAGTTATCAGTGATCAGTTCGTCATTAACGTACTTGGTGTTTGCCTGACAGTCAAAGTGTTCCTGACAACATCTTTCGAAAAGCTTGTCAAGATTGCTCATCAACCAGCGTGACTTCATGCTGCACATGAGGTTTTAATCCAAACATTGACACACCCCTCAATGTGTTCACAAGCTTACTTAGCGTACTGTTTATCTTTTCTGTTGCATGGCTACGCAAATTCATTTTGTTATCGTAAGCTGCATATCAGTCAGCAGTTCTTTCCACTGTAAAATTCCTCTCACATTTCGTTGAGAACTGAAAACAAAGAAATGTTTTGATTTTACATAAGCTCCAAATGACAACTGTTTAGTGCCATAAAGTCAGTCACAATAAGGACATAACTGGCTGATCACAAGTGTTTGAGCTGACCATGAGTAGTTTTCATAATTGTAAGAATCATTTCCATTCACTTGAATAAATACGACAGAATATTACCTAAAACTAATGGAGTAATAAAATGAACATAAAAAGACAAAGAAATTATTCATCATAATTAACTGATTGACAATTAATCAGCAACTATAATTCCATGACGGTGACAGTCCGACCTGCAGTAGGGAAGGCTATGTACAGAATTTGTAGGAACATTAAAGCCTGCTCTCTGCGTCTTCACTTTGTTGAGAGGTATTTGCACATTGTCAAGGGAAAATTTTGAAACATTCACGCACAATGTAAATATTTTTATTCATTTTCATGACTTAAGATTCCTTAAGACTTGTTGTCGGTCTGAATTGCCACACTTACTTCTTAGGTGTCTTGTACCACTTACTTTGTAAAACTTGCTTTCTTTTAAAATCTTTTTATTCTTCTTTAAAATTGTTGTACTCGTAAGAATTTACTGTAATGCAGCAAATCAAAACATTAAATTCTTTGTATGTGAAAACGTGGTTATAAAAACTGACTCTGATTTGCACATCTTACATTTCACATATTCAACCTACAGCAACCAACTGTTATCGTTGTTTTTTTTGCAAAGATCAATGAGGTTTTGCTGTATTTGTCCCTCAATCTCAACTGATAGAATTCTCTGTCACCACCTTAATCATCTTGTCGTGCACACAGCCTAATATGACAAAGTTGCCCACCTGCTCTTCTGGCTCAGTGTGGATTGTGAGGTGGTCTCCTGACTAGAGGACTTGCTTGACGATTTCTTTTGTTCATGCTTGACGTCCTCCCTGGCCTTTTTGCTGGGTGGTGCCTTCACACAGGCAAAGTCCTCATCTGTCACAAAATGAGGACAAAGAACAGTGATATCTTTACTAAGTGAAAAAAACAAGTGTTTATGAGGAAGGTAGAATGATTTTGGGAAAGTTTCTTCCATTTTTTTGACAGATATTGTGCTCTTGATTCCCAATACATTTTTTTTTGTTGTGTGTGTGTATGTGTGTGTGTGTGTGTGTGTACCCCTTTGCAATGTAAGTTTGTTAAATGTAATACGAGGTGCTGGGTTGACATTTATCAAAACATAAATGCAATAAGCATTTCAATTCCTGAGATATATCTCCAAGCCTTGTATTTGTCCCCTGGTAATATGTTTTTTTTAAAAAAAGGAGATTGCACTGAAGGTTACAGATTGATCATGAAATTACTGATGTATAAAAACAACAGGATAGCAGCTTCAACATTTACATTGCACAAGATGGTCTGGTGCTCCAGTATACAGACCCAGTTATTAACAAAGAGCAGTCACTAGTGCTCATATATGAATTTAGTTGTACTTTCTTAAGGTTCTATTCCAACAGCACTTTGAGGATGTTTTTTTTTTCTTTACTGAAAACTTGGATCGGGCTAGTAAGGATTAAGCAGTGAATAGATGATGCATGGATGGAATACTTGGATCATTTCCATGTTTTTTTTTTTTTTTGTTTGTTTTTCTAATCTTTTGTCTGTTTATACGGTTTTAATCAATCAGGTTTCATTATTCTGTTTTTGTTTGCATGTACTTTAATTAACTTGTCTGTACAGTTTACATTATTACAATTTTATATTTAATTCAGTTTCATTCTGCTGTATTTTATCTTGGACATGTTTTGATTTTCTCTCTTTGCCTCTAAGGCACTTTCAGCAACCCTGCGTGTATAACAGGGTGCTACATAAATAAGCATGCTTGCTTGTTTTTCTAGTTGGAACATGTGAATCCCTATTATATGACAGAAACTTTGATACGGAGTTCAATATGTAATACGGGTAATGAGTGTATTTTCTTAAGCCGGTAACTGTGGCTGTTCTTTCAGAAGTTCAGACTTAACAGTGTCTGACACATAGGACATGCTTTTATATAGATGCTTGATTTACTGATAAAGCTATTCTCAAGGAATGACAAGAAACAATGGCTGTATTTACACCACATCACTCTTACAATCATTTGTGAAGTCTGACCATTTGATTAGTTACTCACCATCATCGAAGTCCTTGGCTTCGCAGTAATTTACAATCTTTGCCCTCCTGTGTGTCAACAACAAAAAACGTATCAGCATCAACGGATATTGAGAATTATCAGGCAAATGGCAGCATGAACGAGGGTTAATAAAAACGTTTTCACACCTTGACGGTCGGTCCATTGTTTGTAAAATGACAGAGCTGACTATGCTCTTTATTTAGCGGACAGTAAGCACCTTAACGCTGGTTAGCTGCTATATCAACACTACCGTCTGCAGTAAAAAGCACAGGCTAATTTTAGCTAGGCGGAGAAGCTAAGAGAGCTCTAGCTATCGACAGCTTGAAAACTAACATGTGGCAGACATTAAGCGATTAAAATGTGTCTATTATAACGAAGTAGCAAGCTAATCTATCTAAATAACGTTTCTTCAGTCTCACAGCAGTAAAGTAAAGCGCCTCATCTCGGCTTTCAACCAGCCCGCCTGAACCTACCGGAAGTGACGTTTGTTGATCAAACTGACGAACACCGGAAGCTGATTCGGTTGTACCTGAAAGGAAAAAAATTATGCTTTCTATTAACAAAACAAACACCAAAACAGAGTTTGTTTATGCATACATGTCTATATTTAAAAAAAATAAAAACAGAAAAACAGAAAAAACAAAAGCAAACAAAGAAAAAAAGACTAATTAATTAGATGACGGTAGTTTACCTTTTCTTCTTAAAAAAAAAAAGTGTCGAATCTGCTTCTGTTAAATGGTTTGGTGTTGCAGCTACAGCAGCTAACAGAACTGTTCAGGTTTCAATACATTGAATACAGCCGGAAGGAGATAATGTATGTATGAATTATATATGCAAGCTTGGTTTACTGAGTGTTTAAATTGGCTGTGTTTTTAATTATATCATATATGTTGTGTTATGGCTGTGAACATTTCTACCAGGGCCAGTCAACAACTTTTTGGGGTCTGGGGCAGAATTTGGGAACCACAGGGGAGGGGTGTATAAAATGAAGAGGACTGTCATTTAATATAACATCATATAGACTTTTAATATTAGCTTAAGTGACACTGGATGCTTTACGTGGATTTGAGTATCCTGGTTATAAGCTGAGGGGTGGACTACAAAACAAGTTTGACTTAATCTGGCTTTCTTTAGTGTGAGTTGGCCTAACTCACCGTTATACTTGTATGCGTCTCTTACATGGGAATACACAAAAACAGATTTCTCTCTGTTTCATGTAAATGGCTTGTCCCTTACATGATCAAAATCTAGATAAACCTTATTATTGGAATACAGGAGCTCGTGTAAACACCTTCCATCTATCCATCTTCTTCCACTTATCCAGGGTCGGATTATTGTGGTAGCAGGCTCATCAGGGCATTCCAGACAATCCTTTCCCCACTAAAGTGTTCCAGTTCACCCTGGGAGACACCGAGGTGTTCCCAGGCCAGATGACATATGTAATCACTCTGGCGAGTTCTGGATCTACCCCAGGGTCTCCTTCCCATTTGATCCCAAGGAAGGCACCGAGAAGGCATCCTTATCAGATGACTGAACACCTCAACTGACTCCTTTAGACATGAAGGAGCAGTGACTCTATTTCAAGTTCCCTCGAGATGTTCAAATTCCTCACCCTATCTCAGAGGCTGAGCCCAGCCACCCTTCAGACGAAACCCATGCGGTTTTCTCTGTATTCGTCAGCCAGTGACTTGTAACTTGACCTATACAAGTCGCCATTTCAAAGCTTTCTCCCATCTAAGCTACCAAAGTATATTTAACTGTTGCATTACCAAACGACAAAATTCAATTTCCTGATCTATCTAAATGTAAGGCACTTTTACTTCTGCTGTTTGTTTTGTTTTTTTGGCTTCACTTGCCTGAAGCAACACCTCCACAGGTTGTCTTTACCTCTCAGAAACCTGGATAAGACGTATATATGCAACACTAACCCAGTTTCTCTACTCTCGCTAGCATATTCAGATTTTTCAAATGTGGAATAAGGGCTTCTCTGGGTTTCTGGAATCAGAATATGGTGTTTAAATGCATTGTATCCAGGATATTCATGTCTGTGTTAATACACTCATACCAGCAGCAATTGTTGTGTCCCATCAGTTAAAACAAACCAGACTTCGATAGCTAAAACCACTTTAAGTTTCCCAGCAATCACTCAACAGTTTATTTTGATTTGTAAAAGTTGACAACCACCAAATGTACTGTAACAGCACCCTTACCACAAACACCTTTATGTAAGGCTGCAACTAACAGCTATTTTGACTATTTGTTACTCGTATATTCTCACTAAATACAATATCACTTCTTTCATGGTGTTCGCTTGAAATATTTAACAGAATTGTGCCTGAAATTTGTAAAGCACTTTCATATAAGTGCCATATAAATAAACTGTAATCAGTATAATGTGCACATTACTTTGTTGATTAAGTTGTACAGTTTGGTTAGTAAAATGTATTGAATAATGCCGATCACAGTGGTATAAGATAAACTACAATATAAAGTCTTTGTATTTGAGTGCAACCAAGGGTGTCCCCTGCCTTCGCCCTAAGTCAGCTGGGATAGACTCCAGCCCCCCATGACCCTAGTGAGGATTAAGCGGTGTATAGATGATTGATGGATGGATGGATGGATGGATGGATGGATGGATGGTTTATTCTGAAGAGTTTGCTTGATTGTAACTTAGCCTGTATGAGAATCCGTGTAATAAGCTGAAAAGCTGCGCAAACAATCATTGGCATGAACAGATATAACATATGCATAGGAAGAAATTGCCCTACAGAAATGCCACAGATATGTTTAAGGCAATGTTAAAATAGTGCAATAGTGCATACAATGTGTAGGGAGCTTTGACAAATTTGTTGTCCAACTAAAACATACTCAGTACAGGTTATATTTTGGAACTTTTTTTAATAACCAAATTTAAGAGAACAAAATAAAAATGACTATTCATTACTACAAAAAAAAAAAAAAAAGGAAAAAAAAGCTAAATATCAGTAAAACTGTGAACGTCAAAATTCCATTACCGGTCGGGTTTACATACATGATCAGCTTTGATTACACATATCAAACTGGCACCCTTTGAGACGACAGCATTTATTTCAGTAAACATTCACGGTGAGGACAACATATGCTACCTGCCACCTGGTGTCTTTGTGCTTTCTCTTCTTCAGAGTAAACCTCAGCTTCCTCTTGCCAATAAAAAAGGGACATTTTGAGACACTGCATGCCAAAGAGAGTCTAAAGCCGTTATTCATCCTCACACCTACAGTACCAGGCTGCCAAACCTAAGTTTGCATGAGCTCACATGTACAGTAGGTGTGTGTAGGAGGGAACCAGACTGAAAAAATAAACATCACTTACTTAAAAATGTATTTACAGATATCTTTAACAAAGATCAGTGTCTTTAGGTGTCAGAATATTAGTGTATTCAGGATGTACATGCACATTTTTTGCAATAAACCGTCACAGTTTTTGCAGATTAATTATTGAACTGCATGTCACATTTTACTCATCCGCTGATCATGAATATGTGTTTATTTTAAGAGGGTATTTCTGTTTCTCCTCCTACAGGCCATGTCAGCATCATTTTTGTCACTGAGTGAATTCATCCCACAGCAGCAGTCCAGCAGATGGCAGTACGATCCTGATGCCTCAGGACTTCAGATCACAGAGGTACAGAGCCTGACCGGCTGATTGACATGAACCTGACATGTCCTCTGCCACCCAGTCGCCCACACTCAGGGCGGAAGCAATCACAGCTACCTCTGAAGTGCACTAAAAGGGAAATCGTCCCATTTTTACTGCACTTCTAAGAGAGCAGCAGCTGTACCGAAGGTTGTCATTTTCCCTTTTGTGAGTGGGTGGCTGTCGGCTGCGGTTTGTCACACAGTGGACCTGGAGGAGAAGTTCAGGGATGTGATGGTCCGTGTCTTCGGACCCAGACATGGAAGGAAGACGTGCAGCCGTGGGGCCAAAAGGTCCTGTGGTCACACATTCCTAAACTCCTCCAGCGCTGCCTACATCCCTGACTAAAATATCAGATCCAGTCATGCAAACATTGCGGTCACAACATCACGCTTCCATTCACACATATAGATGCTGTATTTGTGCCAGTGTTGCAACAGCTGTGGTAACGATAGGTGGCTTGCTGACCACTGGATTAATCCTCATTTTTAGGTAATAATCAGATGACATGTGGCACTTTTCCATATATACATGTCTCTTTTTAACTACAGGAAATAATTTAGATTTATGTTGCTGAAATGAAAATTGCTACGCCTCCACTCCTACACTATATGTTCCCAAACAAAGTCACATGAGGTCTGGTGGGGAACAGAACATGATATTTAGATTTTTTCACTTTACTAAAAGTAGAAATACCCTCACAGATTATGACTCAAGTAAATGCCATTGACTGAAATTTGTCCAGAGTTAAAAATATTTAGGTATGTGATGTTAAATACACACTGTTAAAAAGGTCTATGATTTTAGAGCTTTTCCTTTTTATTTTACGTTGGGTTTTTTTTTTCAAGTGTTTTTCAAAAACAGAAAAATCACATTGCAGACTAGACAGTGAACGCACATGGTGAATGTAAAATAATGTTAATAATGCATGAATACCACTATTTTCTTTTAAAAGAACATAAAAATATTTAAATATTTCAATACATCTCAAAATTATAATACTTTCACTGGTATTTCCTTTTTATTTTTTAGATGAATATGGTAAATTCAAGATTAATACTGTAAATAAATTTATAAAATTAGATATAATTATTGACAATTAACTAAGAAGAAGCATTGGTTCTGCAATTTTATATAGACTTGTTTGTTTATTATCATTATACACTATGTGTAACACAGTTTTACATATGTAAATATCATTTATTATTTAATTAAATGACCCAAAAAATAAAAAACACACATGATGTTATGTAAAGTCAGAGCTAGATTATTGGATGTATTTTTGTGACATGTTTATTTTCTTTTATTTTACAATACTTTCTTGGCACTCCAACTGCTTTTACAGTGTACTCATAGCATTCCTTGCACACATAAGTGTCAAGAATGAAAATGCAAGAATAAATGTATTGAATTTTGTTCACTCTGGACACTTCAAATTAAAATAATGTCATTGTAACTTAACTAGGTTACTTATTTCTGGTCAGGTTTGCATTGTATCTGTTAAATCTCTCCTTAAAACACACTGTTTCTGCAGAGCTCATCCTGATTTTTGATTTCACATTTTGCTTTTAGTGCCAAACATCAAATGTTAGTTGCAGTGTTAGCAGACAAACACATTAAATTCAATGGTAAATATGACGTCTGCAAAATATCATTGACAGAGGCAGTGTGATAATGTCAGCTGACAGTATGCCTGCACAAGCCACACAGAGCTGCTAGCACAGCCCTACACGCTTATTTATATTCATCTAACCAGAAGAACTTATGAGAAGTGAAGCGTCGCC